TCACACGAGAACAGGGCAGGGGAGCTCGGCAAGCTGCAAATCCAAACGATGAACACCGACGAACGGAGAGGAGCGATGCAAGCCTGCTCACCGGTCGGCTCTGGAGAAGCGCAGCGCGGGGCCGAAGGACCGCAGCGGGTCAGCAACGCTGGGAGCGGAGGACCGTACGCCAGAAACAGCGAGCACGGGCTCCAAGCACCGATGGCCGGAGCGCCTGGGACCCAGGGAGAGCGCCACTTCTGAGAGCGAGCACGGCGTCTGAACGCCGGCTTTGGTAGCGCTGCTGCCAGGCGCACTGGAGCCCCACACCGACGAACAAAGGACCGAGCAGGAATGTGACCGAACAGGAGCCGAGCGCTCCCGAGTGAACGAACCGAAAGCACGACGAACTCGAGCAGGAGAGCCGCGGGCGGTGGGACTGCACGCCGCCGCGCCGAGCAGAAAGGGAGCGTCGGGGGCTGCACCGCACGCTTCTACACTACACCGGTATCCATCGGTCCAGACATCGATGCCTGCCTGGCGCCTGAGCAGAAGAACAGAAAGAACGAACAAAGCCTTCCCAGATCCGAAAACTCAAGGAACTCACGAGATTCAGAACCGAAAGCTCTCAAACTTTGCACATCGATTCGCCATGGAGATGGAAAGCTACTCCTAGGAGATCATCGCTCAATTTAAACTGTAACTCCGTGAAACGAAGAAATTCGAGCAAGAACGAAAATGGGAAAAAAATGAAGAACACGCAACAAAAATGGCACATAAAAGTGACGAATCCCAGAGGGCACGAGAAGAATTCGGACCTCCTTTCCCATTCCACACATAGTACAACACAAAATATTTAGATATAGGACCTCTCTCAAAAACACTATAGAGAGAGAAAAACCTAAGAAAAAAAGAAAAAAAAGAGTGGCAGAGAGATGAGATGGTTTAGGAGAGCCATCTATTATTTATGAACTACTTAATCCATCCTAAATTGTAAGACGTTTAACTTTTTTAATATTAAGTTTGATCACTCGTTTTATTCAAAATTTTGTGTAAAATATCACTTCTTTGGTTGTGATTTAGTTTATTAATTAAATTTCTTTAAGAATGACTTAAATTTGACTATATTTGCACAAATTTTTTGAATAAGACGAGTGGTCAAACTTAGGGCCAAAAAATCAAACGTCTTACAATTTGGGATGGAGGGAGTATTACATAATCTCCAGAATGTCCCCAGGTATTTTGAACCGAACCACTTAACCCGAGGGCGTAATAGTCCAACTCTTTTTTGTCGATCGAACGGCCACGCTTCCTGTACAGATTTGCTTCGCCTCGACGCAACCTCTGTGATTCCGCCCCGTTCCTCCTCGGAACCTCCGCCCGGGTTTTTAGGACAAACCTGTGAAACCACCCACCCGGTGGTTTTGAGGCTCAACCCACAAAACCGTCCACGCCTGGTTTTGAGGCCCAAACCAGCAAACCGTCATCCGATGGTTTTGAGGCCGAAACCACCAAACCCCTCCGATGTCGACGCGTGTCCGACCTCCGCCAAACTTGACGCCTTCGCCTTCCTTATTGACTTGACCGACGCCATCTACATCTCCCATGTAGATGCATGTCCGGCCTCCGCCAAGTGCCACGACGCCATCGTCCTCCTCCTTGACTTGGTCGACGCCGTCTTCATCACCCATGTACTCTTGCACCTGTCGATGTCCCAAGTGTCAGCCACCGCGGCTGGTCACCCGGCCTCCTGGCCCCTCTGTCCAAGCCTCACGTTCGTCCTTCACTGCTCCGAGTCCATCGGCACGGCACGTCTCTACTTGACCTTCACCTCGCCGTAGACCACCGCCTCCGAGCTCCACACCTACGAACCACAAGCCAAGAGACATGTTGCACAAACTAATTCATGCCATAGTTAGTTCACCGACTCAACTCAAGACGCAAGTCACGTTGACAGTCATTCATCACAACCGAACTACAAGGACACATATCAACCTTGTGTTCGCACCATTGCGGCGCCATGATCTGCACTCGGCGCGGCGGCCTGTGCGGCTCCATCTGCTCTAGCCACCTCTGCTCCGGAGAGAAAAACACGAGAGAGGATGACTTGTGGGACCCATATGTCATTCTCTACTAGGACTAGTTCCTGTTTTATGTAGTACTGTTGGAGCTAGAAGCAAAATACGGGTAGTACGAAAATGGGTGGCTACCTAAATAGACAAATACGTGGTTTATTTTAGGTGGTATTGCTGGAGATGCTCTTAGATATTTAGGCTGAACCACTTAACCCTAAGGGCAAAATGGTCCATCTTGAGATCGGTGCATCTGACGGCCACGAGCTCTTCATGACTTTGTTTCGCTCGATATAAGCTTCGCAATGATGCCATATGCGACGCCTTCCGTTCCCGTCGGAACTCCAACCTAGTTTTGAGGCCCAAACTCAAAAACCATCCACTAGTGGTTTTGAGGCCTAAATAACCAAACCCACTGGAGAAGCGTATCCTCTACGCCTCCTCCACGATCTCGACACATGTCACCTCATCATTGATCGCCCGATCACAAAGTCCTCTTGCGCTCCCCACTTGACTTGGTCAACGAACATCTTGACTTGGTCAGCATGGTCTACTCCTCCACATGTCTTGCTTGTCGATATCCACAAGTGTCAGCCACCCATGGTCAGTCTTTCGGGCGCCTTGGTCCCTTAGTTCAAGCCTCACGCCCGTCCTTCACCGTTCTCAGTCCATCAGAATAGCACGTCACTACTTGGCCTTCTCCATGGTAATTGACTGTCTCTGTGTTTCATACCTGCACACCAACACTGCCAAGGGACATTTTGCACACATACTCACGCTAAGGTTAGTCTAAAAATCAACCAAAGCCTGATCATCTCCTGACAATCAGTCATGAACTTGATACACATCGGCACATATCAACCATGTGTTCGTAATATATCATCAACTTGTTGCATATTATCCACAAGCAATACAATCCACGAACATAAAACCTAGGGTATTATCTGCTCGAACCTATATAAACATCAGGTTTTTGCTATGATCTAATTCTTCGTCATACCGTATTGCGCTGCCGCCTCATAATTTATGGCTGGCGACAAAAACAACGATAGCATCAATTCTATATACTTAGTTAGGATAAACAAAACCTGAATTTTTACATTTGTAAAACTGGGCGGGAAACTCTGGTGAAAATTGTTGTTTCATCACTGCCGATTTACCACCTTACCGTTTTCAAGCACAAAAGTGGCTGCTCAAAAAGATTGACTAGATCCGTCGTAGTTTCCTATGGTGTGGGGAGACACCGGACACAGTTTGTGGAGGGCATTCGCTTATCAATTGGATGACTACTTGCTCACCGAAAGACAAAGGAGAGTTAGGGGTTCTGGACCTGGAGAGATTCACCAGAGCATTTAGATTGCGTTGGCTATGGTACCGATGGAAACAGCCGGAACGAACGTGGAGCAACCTAGAAGTGCCCTATGACAAAGCGGATCAAGACCTTTTTAATGCATCAAAGGTAGTTTCAATAGACGATGGAAAGAAAGCCCTCTTCTGGACATCAAGTTGGATAAACGGCACAACGGCAGAATCGATCGCCTCAAGTCTATGGCCCTGTTTGTTTCCGCTTCTCCCAGACACGCTTAGATTATAATCTAAGCGAAGATTTTCTCGCTTCTCGCTTTTCGCTTCTCGTAATTCAAATCTCTGAAGCGGCTTACCACATAAGCGAGAATCGATGGAAATAAGCAAAGCGTTTGGCGGAATTGTCGCTTATTTCTACCGATAAGCCGCTTATAAGCGGAAACAAACAGGGCCTATACCGAAAGGCAAAAAGGAAAAAGATTATGGTACAGCAAGGACTGTCAAACCGTAAATGGATTGACCATATTTTCCCCCCGACATCACCTGAGGAAGTAAGAGAGTTTGTCAATCTATGGGAAGCCATTACTACAGTCACACGCAATGAGGAGGCAGAAGATGAAGTGAGGTGGAGAGATGGACACCACATGGGGAATACTCTACCAAAAGCGCTTACCTCATTCAATCAGAATCACAGCCATCTGGAAGGCAAAAGCGGAACCTAGGTGTCGTTTTTTTTTTTTTTTGCATGGACTCTTACGCACAAAAAAATCCTCACAACAAATAATCTGCTCAAACGTGGATGAACAGACGAGACGGATTGCAGGCTATGTGCAAATGAACTCGAAACACCTGTGTACTTATGCAAAGATTGTCCATTCACTAAGGAAGTTTGGGAGATCTTAAAGCAGTGGTTCCAGTTAATAGCGATACATCGATCGGTAAATATCTCTGGCTCCTTGCACTCATACTGGTGGAGGTGCAGACGCAGATTTGATAAGAAGGAAAAGAGAAATGTGGATGGGATTTTTATATACTTTTGGTGGAATATTTGGAAGGAGAGAAACAGGAGACAATTCCAACAGAAGGCTCTCAATCCAACACAAGTGGCCTCCTTATGCAAAGATGATATTTTGCAGTACAGGTTTGCCATGGCGCCAAGGACACTCGCAGCGGAAAATTAAGACCTTCATAGCGACCATGCTCGGTTGCTGTTTTTTTTTTCTGTTGCCGGCTTCCTCTGTTTTGTTTTCTTGAGTGGTGCTGTTTGGTCTGTTTTTTCTTTTTCGTGTACAGTCTTTCAGTGGCCGTCCACCGGGTTGTAGTAGTTATAGTAGGCGAGTAGCTGCATGTATATGCTTGTAATTCCCCTTTTTTCTTTTTTTATCGTCTAATAAAATGTACGGTAAAGTTTTTACCGTCCTTTCTTAAAAAAAAAGACCGTATTTGTGGATCAGTCGAAAGTAATGCTAGTCCAATAGCAACAGATCAGTCATTCCAAAAAATATCTCGACTCTATTTGTGGACCAGAGCGTCCGAGCGGGTTACAGTGGAGCATGGAGCACCTATATAAACCCATGCGACCGCGTAGAATTATTAGACAGCAAATAATCCATGTCTGCTTCTCGACCTACAAACGAAACGAGAATGAAGCACCTGGTAGTCATAGCACAAGTGCCCTGGTTCCTCACTACCCTTGCCTTAGCATTTTCCTATCCAGTGCCGCTTCACCTCCCGGTGGTGGCCGCCGATGCCAACGCCGTCGTCTCCGACATGGCATTCCCACAACCGATGCCAGCTCCACGACCTGCGGACTGCCCTAGCATGTGTGGCGACGTGCAAATCCCCTACCCATTCGGCATCGGCGACAACTGCTCCTGGTCAGGCTTAGATGAATTCACCCTCATCTGCAACCGTACCTTTAACCCTCCGAGACCATACCTCGGTGACTTCGAGGTCATGAGCATCGCGCTGGACGCCGGCGAGATGCGCGTCGTCGGCTCCGTGTCGTACATCTGCTACAACTCGTCCACCACAGCCATAGCCGACGGGATCTTGGGCTGGACATTCACCTTCGCGCCGTTCTTGGTCTCGCAGAAGCGCAACACCTTCACGGCCATCGGCTGCCACACGCTGGCGTATCTGAGTGGCATGGACGACCGGAGCTACCGCACCGGCTGCATCACCTCGTGCAAGAGCTTGCATGCCGCGGCGCAGGACGGCGAGGAGTGCACGGGGCTTGGCTGCTGCCAGACGTCCATCCCCGCCAACATCAGCACGATAGAGGTTTTCTGGAGGGACAGCCCCAACTATACCCCCATAAATCCTGCGTGGAGGTACAGCCCCTGCAGCTACGCCTTCGTCGCCGAGAAAAACTGGTAAGTAAAGTAACATGCTCTTCTTCAGGTGGTCTATACTTAACAGTAACATTTCTAGCACTGTTAAAAATTTCAGGTCATAGTTCAAATTGACATACCTGAATTTTTTACCATATGCATGTTTTTTCACAAAGATTTTTTTACCATACATAATACAAGAGCGAAGACCAAATGTTTTTCTTATGGCTTGAATTAGGACTGAATATTGATATACATCGTTGTTTCAGGTACCACTTCAGACGTAGAGACCTCACTCTTGTTGCAAACAAGAACTTTACTGACCGTGTTGGAGACAGAGGCATCCCTTTGGTGCTTGAATGGGCCATCAGGAGTAATGGATCCTGCCGTATCCAACTGGAGGATAATGACCGAGAGTCAGCAAAACCAGCAGCTTTAGCCTGCGTGAGCGCCCATAGCTACTGTACCAACGCCACACAGGGTTCTGGGTACCTATGCAGGTGCTCCGAGGGATACATGGGCAACCCCTACATCATTGGTGGATGTACCAGTTAGTTATTCTTTAATCTTTCTGTTGATTCTACTCCTTTTGCATATGCCTTGTTTCTATATCGATCAAAGCTGTGTTTGGTTTGAGAGATAGGAAAGATTAATGTGAACACGTGATCATTAGGACTGGTAGCCATAATATATAAGAGGGCATATTTGATTGAAGCTGCTGTGAGATCCATTATATATTTCGTCTTGCACAATGATAGACCATACTTCCAATAGTCCATATCATCTTAGGATTAACCCATATATATCTCTAAATCAAATACCATGTAGAAGCGTCATCCTAGAACTCAAATCCTAAAGACAACGTAGAGGAGAAAAAAAGATATGCCTTACTTTCTCAATGGAATTCATTTCATATGTCACATGCTCCTTGATAATTGGCACAATTAAGTTGCAAAGGAATGGCTCTAGACATTATTTTCATGGATCTTTTCTCGAACTAACAATTTCAATATCTACACCTGCCATGCAGATATTAATGAGTGTGAGCTTCGGAAATCAAATCCTGCAAGATATGAAAAATTATATCCTTGTCACAGTGGTAGTACATGCTATGACACACAGGGTGACTACATGTGCAAATGCAAATTTGGTCTCAAAGGTGATGGTAAAAGTAACAAAGGATGTCAGCTCATATTCCCAGAATATGCAATTGCGATAGTAGGTGAGTAATTAATTCAACAAACTATATATCACCTCTCACAGGAACGGATCTAGCGGTGGGGGGGGGGGGCTAGAGCACCTCCCATGGAGCACCCCTAGAGCACCTCCAAGAATTTTTTAGGAGAGGCTGGAGGCTGAAGATGACGACTTCAGCCACCCCCTCTAACTTTCATCTTAGATCCGCCACTGACCTCTCATGTCCTTCTCAATTGGTATTTGAGTTTAGCTCCTAAAGTAATTGAAAATAGTTTTGTTGAAGGAATATCATAAGTGGATGTTAATTTAATGTTTGTCTCTTTATTTTGCATTATTTTATCTTATGGTTACACAAATTTTTATACATGATAATTTATAGAAACCATATATTAAATCCTCACCATTTCCAATGCATGATAGAAGAATCATCAAGCTATTTTTCATTTTATTATATGAGGTTGCATGTGGCCTTTCTTGGATGAGTGCGAAGGTTTAGGAAGATCATATTTGAGAAATAATCCAATAATGATGAATGCCATTCTTTAATAAGATTAAATTAAAAGGCAAGCCTTTAGAAGACCTTCTATTATATGATGCTCTTGATGATATAAACAAATAGTGTAGAGGCTGGTCTCTTTAACACCCTCGTCTAATTGGCCCTCAAACTTCTACAAAGTTTTATGAAGTCGAGGTTAAAGGGACCAGCCTCTACAAACTTTTATATGGCGTTAAACGCCACACACTAATACTGAGAGACCAAAGAACTCTTCATTTGTAAGAAATAGCATATCTGCAATGATATGCTCTGCTGGACATGATATGAGTTTGTAAATTGAACAATGAATAGAGACGAGATTTTTTTAGTTCGCTTATTAAGCCGGGCAATTCACTTTATATATCAACACCGCCCCCATGTGGAGGCTCACTTAGCCTCAGACGTAGAATAGAAGTCAGAAACAATTATTTTTATTTAATTACGCTAGCCAGCATTCAAACTCTATCATATTGAGTTGCATGCACCATCTTTTTCAACACAAAAGCTAAGTTGATGGGGCCAGGGAAAGCGGGCAATCCACTTTATATTTCAATAGTCTATAAACTTTCCCCATATTCTCATATGGGTCCATAAACTCTTAAAGTGATTATCAAGGTCCTTCAACTTTTCAAGTAGTTCGTCGTCACAAAAAAAACTTTTCAAGTAGTTTGTTTGAAGTATGAATTTAAGTCCATAATTGGACCTAGAGTAAACTTAGAATGAACCAACTGAAAAAATGAATGACACATATGATTATTTTAATAGTCTATGGACCCACATGAGAATGCATGAAAAGTTTAAAGACCCACGATGTATTTCACTCTAAACAGAATTTCATTTAGCCATATTAAAAGGACTATATGATGCTCTGAAAAGAGAGCAGAGAAACCAGAAGAAATCGTATGTAAAGGGACAGCACACTAATAAAAGCCTCCTGTTTGTAGTACACTGTCATATATAGCAATGTCCAACAGCCAAATTCCCGAAAACTAAGTGTCCACTAGACAGATTTCCCATATATGGCAAGACAGCATGCAAATGGAACAAATAAATTGAAAATCACCTTTCTGTCCCAGCTTTCAAATATGATCTTTTCATTCATTTGGAGAAATCACATACTCACATTATTACATTAATCACCACTTACACATCCACCCTCCATTGGTATAAAGAGTTGAAATTCCTTTGACAATGAAGGTTATATCGATCACCTCACTTGTTTATTTTCAAAATCAGCAAGGATTTAAACATGTCAGCTCTCCTATGGATGTCTATATCTTACAGTTGTCATGCATTGTTTTGGTAATCTAAGGTTGTTACATTTTGTACATTTTCTCCATATAGGCATAGATGACACTATAGTTTTATGGCAGAAAACTCATCAATAGTGGATCTTCTACCTTTATGTTTGCAGGAACATTTGTTGCCTCCGTTCTAGCATGCCTTGTGGTTATGGAGATCAAGAGGCGAAAGCAAAAGAAGTTTTTCGACAAAAATGGTGGCGAAATACTAAAGAGCATGGGCATTAACATCTTCACGGAGGGGCAGCTGAAGAAGATCACAAACCGCTACAGCACACCGATTGGAGAAGGTGCCTTCGGCAAGGTCTTCATGGGGATAATTGACGCCACCCAACGGGTCGCAGTTAAGCGCTCCCATGTGAAAGGCGAGGCACTCCGTCAAGAGGACTTCGTGAATGAGATCACCATCCAGTTCCGAATCAGCCACGCCAACTTGGTGCGCCTTGTCGGGTGCTGCCTAGAGACAGATATCCCCATGCTCGTCTTCGAGTTTGTTCCCAACGGCAGCCTCTACAATGTCCTCCATGGCGCTAGCAAGCTTCACATGCTACCACTACTAGTGCGCCTAGACATTGCCCTTGGCTCTGCACAAGCTCTTGCCTACATGCACTCGCATGGCAGCCACAACCACGTCCATGGGGATGTCAAGTCTGGCAACATTCTCCTGGACGAGAACCTCACACCCAAGGTCTCTGACTTTGGGTCATCCAAGCTCGTCTCGATCGCCATGCATGCCAACTGGTCTGTGGCTGGGGACATGAACTATATAGACCCAGTGTACATCAAGACAGGCTGTTTCACGGAGAAGAGCGATGTTTATAGCTTCGGGGTGGTTCTATTAGAGCTCATCACTCGAAAGACGGCCAAGTACGACGGGTGCAGGAGTCTCCCCATAGACTTTGTCATGTCCTGCAAGGATGAAGGCAAAAGAAGAGCGATGTATGATAGAGACATCTTGTGTGAAGACGACGGTCTATCTTATGTCAACATGGAGTGCCTTGACAGGATTGGCGAACTTGCAGTAAGATGCCTCAAGGAAGATGTGGAGGAGAGACCAACAATGGTAGAAATGGTGGAGGCGCTTAAGCAAGTGAAGTCAGTAGCCTGCGGATGCTCATGTTCTCACACCACTTATGAAACCTACACAGTCAAGTTCAACTAGCAATAGCTGTTAAGTTGATGGTACGAATTGTATATGCATGCATGCACGTTGTGTGTGACATGTGTTTTGTTAGTCAATGCGGTGTGTAAATGGTGAATGTACTAATTGTCTACTGTCAGATATCTATATCTGGGTATCTAAGCCAAAGGATTAATGAGCATCACGTCGGCTCATCCGATGGTTAAGGACGCAATTGCGGCCTCGTCCGACCCCCTGGGACTGGGCCACGCCTCACCCGACTCCGAGGACGAGGTTTCCGCCTTGTCCGACTCCAAGGCCTGGGCTCCGACTCTGAGGACGAGGTTTCCTTCTCGTCCGACCCCAAGGCGTGGGCTCTGACTCCGAGGACGAGGTTTTCACCTCGTTCGATCCCAAGGCGTGGGCTCCAACTCCTTCGACCCCAGGGCGCGGGCTCTGACTCATCCGGTCCCACGGGGAGGGCTCCGCCTCATCTGACCCCCGAGGGTCGGATTCCGCCTCGCCCGTTCCCTGGGGGTCGGATTTGCTACCGGACAAAAGTAGTGGCCCTAGGGTCGGACCCGAACCGCTTCAACCACTACGGCATGGAGGCGCACGCCCGGGAGCACGTCTCGGACGTGTTCTGATGCGACTGGCGGTCACATCAAGCCATGCTGGGAGACTCACGTCGCCCACCGCGTCAACAGGCTAGCACTGTGCTGCTAACTCCCTGCCTGACCATCGTCCAACGACAGTCGTCCGGCGTCAGTTGACTGGCACTATATCGCCAGCCCCCCGTATGGCCTCTATCAGGGGACCCTTTAACCATTCCGTCCGCTCGGATGGGATGGAAGACAAGAACGGCGCACGACGCCCGCACGTATGCTGCTGCGGCCAACAGGACTCCGGTGCGACGCCACCGCCACCACGATCTACAGGGTCAGCGGGACCCACGCGAGGAGGAGGATGGCACACCCCCGGGAGCCTTATTTTCTCTTTGTTTTTTTTCCTCTTCCCTTCTCTCGGTCACTGGTATCCGTTCTCTCCCCTTGGTCTATAAAAGAGAAGGTAGGACACCGTTCAGAGGGAGAGATCGATCGATCGACAGATCGGCGGTAAAAGAGATCAAATCCCACCGAGAATTGTGAGAGAAAAACAACATCGGCTGAAAAAACAAGCCGAACAAGCCAAATTTAAGACAAGCGAACGGGACCATTGAGCAATCGAACCACAGAGACTTGGGAGCTCCTCCCTCTCTCGTCGGTTTGTAACCCCATACTACAAACTCAGTACTGGTAACACGAGCAGCCCAAAACTGGACGTAGGGACATTCGGCCCGAACCAGTATAATCCTCGTGTCCTCTTAGCACACCATCCGGGTCAGATGCATAATATACAAATTTACTAGTCGGCTGTTCGAAACACCAACACTAATATTTCAGAAAAGAATCGTTGCACTAAAATTTCAGAACTATATATAGGTACTAATAAGCTTGTTCAAGATACAAGACCTGGAATATCTTATTATTACTAATTGAAGGCCCTTTAACATAGACTTCACGTTAATTCTCACAATGCGTGCTAGAAAAATAAAGATAAAACTTAGAAATTTTCAAAAGGATATGACAATCAATTTGGTAAACTCTAATCGCCAATGACAATAATAACCATTGGTTGTACTATGTTCTCTAAAAAAAAATACCCACGCGGACGAGGTAGCAGCACATCACCGCTACCTGGACACAATCACCAAGCATGGCAAAACGCTCCATGCTTGAGCCTTATCGCCCTCACTGGCAGCACATATTACATGTTTTGTCATTGTAATGCCCAATTGACCATTCGGTATGTTTTGTTTCTTCTATATATACTATCATAGTATGCACAACAACAGTAAATCTGACTTGGAAGCATCTCAATGAGCATTATTGTGCGATGAAAAAGGTCATTTGGTTTATCTCCTCTTTGGTTTATCGTGAGGCTGGTTTCAGGTTTCCTCTAACTCGTTGAAAAGGTCATTTTACTAAATATGGGAGTCCAGGTTGCCTTCTTTAACTTTCAAAACCATTTAAATTACCTCACTACTCTGATTAGAAGTGTTTTCAAGACGGTTTCATCTTTATTTTTCAGAAACAAACCCAGTAAACACTTGATAAGGTTTTTAAAAAATATATATATCTTCAAGCTTCTAATAATTCTAAGAAAAACCTAAAGAAGCTGAACCTAAGCAGCCATCCACATTTGGGCTCTCCAGGAAAGGCATCCGAGCCATCCACCCCGCTAATTCTCTTCTGGTTCCAGCCAATTTCCCAGCAGCTGCAGCGACCACGAAATCGGCATGTTGGCAGATGTGCACTTCAAGCCAGTAAAAAAAAAAGAGATCAGATCAGGCAGCAAGAAGAAAATGGCCATGCGATTGTGGCTTTCAGCTCATGGCCACCACATCGTCTAACAGCGAACTAAATGTCCTGAATTCCTTCGGTCCACTAGTTCAGTAAACAGAAACTTAAGACAAAAATCACTAGGCTTCCAATCTTCCTTTTGGCATAGTAAATAGGTCCCATCACTGCAAGCAACCACAGGCAAGAGAGATTACTCTCGTGTGCAAACCGAGAGATCGGTTTGCCCAAACCAAGCAGCAGGATAACCAGCAGTCCCGGGGCAAATCCCATACACCTGTCAAGTTCTCAAACTGCACAACATCAGAGTGATACACAGTATTGCCATCTTTTCTTGTATGAGTCTGAGCTACAAAAATTTCCCGGGATACATCACGAAATCCATATACAATGAAAGACAGTGCTTCCTCCTAGACGAATGTGGAATGATGCATCTACAGCACTATGCCCCTAAATTTAGGAATAAAAGAACTTTGGCGACACGATAACCACGAGAAAAGAAAAATAAACCTGGTACTGTGGACTTGATTGATCCTGGTACTCTTTATTGGCTACCACAAGGAATTCAGTTTGTTACGGGCTTCCTTGTTTTATTCATGTCACTCTTTCATATGCATTACCGATCTGCATGTGAAGCCAATCTGACATCGAGCCCTGGGCGTATTCCCTTCGTGTTTGTGGATCCAACATCAGACTAGGAGCAGTATTATATGGCGGAGCACCAAACTGTAAGAAAGCAGGCACTGGTGAACCCTTTTGAACTTTTGTCAAAGTTTGTAAGCACATTTAACAGAATACGCACCGTCGTAAAACTCAATAAAAAAAGACACAAGCATGCCATTCAACAATGTACTGGTCCTATAATCTACAATTTTGAGCAACAACAGCAGTGGTCTAAACTGGAAGTTGAACAGCAGCTCGTCACATAATTTACTACTATTATGACCATATTAATATGTAGCAGGAACAAAACTGGAAAATAACTCATGGGATGGCAGCTAAACTCTATGGTTTGGTTTGCAAAAGTACAATATTGTAGTAACAATATTGTTACTTTTGTTTTGAGTTAAGAATTTTACATATGTGTTTAGGAATGTGTCATGACTCTCGACCGACACACTTTTAATGGTTCAGATGGAGCACCAAATGACTTCAAACAATATGGAGTTCAAAGCTTCAGAATTCAGAAATATTTTTTTAGTGTACCAAAGTTTGCCAATTAATATAGACTAGTACAGCTTAAGATGGCTACCATGGTTGTGAGTTGTGACACATAAAAATGCTAACAGGTGTAACGAGATTAGGTCATTTAGAAAAATTAAAATACTTAAGCCGGTACCCTGTTTTTTTTCAAAAGGTTGGAAAGAGCTTTGGTGAAATATATTAGTAGGATAAAGATATAAAGTTAAAAAAGAATAGTTACAACACCAAAGCCGGTACCCTGTGTATGTGTGCAGAAAACAAGATGTGCAATGACTCATACTAAGCTGAACTTTTTATTAAGAATCCTGAAAACTCAGATTTAACAGTTGATGAATAAACTTACATCTTTCGTTGGAAAAGCTACAGTCGCATTGTTCATATGAGCATTAATCGCTTCAAGTTTCATGGACAAAAACTGCATAGAACAGGTGAGTAATTAATTTGAATACATACAAGAAGACAATTTCACATGAGACCCAAGACCACATACCTCCACTTGACGCTGTAAAGACTGGATGTAATTTATTATCTCATCAAGGACTGATGCTTTCCCGATAACCTTTCAAAAAGAAAACATAATGTTTACAACAGAAGCTTTCACTGAAAATAAGGACCCGGAGAAGACAGCCACATGCTCACATGGTAATTGAGAACTAAAAGCATGACAACACAGAGCTTTGAATCCATGGGGTTCAACATGTACCTTGTTGCATCCAGGGACAATATCTTGAAGAACTTTCATCCGTTCACTTATCTTCTCCCGTCGCACCTATCAGTAGACATATTGAGTTGATCGGATCATTAATTTGAATAACTGCAACTCTATTATAGGCTATAACAACAGTTGCACATTCTGATCTCTGTAATACTCAGTGACTAGACTATTAAGGAAGCATCCAAAAGTACTTGTGAAAAGTCCATGAGAAGGGTATGAGCTTACTCTTTCTGCGAGGCTATGGCTGTCCGTTGCTTGACCTCTTCTAGCCCTCACATGGATGTAGTCTTTTGGTGGCTCTTTAGGTGCAGGCTTTTTATCTGCAGACTTGCTAGCGTTCCCTGAATTTGTTCCAGCTTCTGTCCTTCTTCTGTCATTATTTTCACTAGGTGCCATCTGCTTCAACCGTTTTGCTTCTCGGTCAGCCTAAGAAAAAGAATATACAAATACGCATGAATCCATCAAATTGAAACAACCGTCATTTTGCTTTGTGTATTTAAAAACGCCATTGAAATTCATCCCTGCCCCATTGCAAGGATAGAAAGGCAATGTAAATGCCCGTAAGAAACAGAGAATGAGATCAATTAAACGTCACAATCTGCATGTCAGCTACAGGAAGTTGTAGGAAAGACCAAAAGCTGCTGCACTAGCATCATATAAGGAACATTAAACCAGCACAATGCATGCTGTTGCTCACATGGTGAGACAATACAACGATGCCGCAACTACCTATTTGGCCATGGTTTCAGTTTATTTGATTTGATAGCACCCACCAGAATTTCCACATCCATGACAGCAACGTTGGACCAATTGGTTTGAGTAACTAGAAGCTACAGCCTACAGCTTCCATTTATATTACACGATTAAACTACATATGAGCCCAAACGTGTTGTTTTGCAGCAAACCCGAACATGATCGAGTAAAACCCCCTTTCACATGAGGTTGAGCTCACCAGCTAGCTCAACGAGCCAGCAGGGCAGCAATTCATCAGTATCATCAGAACAGTAGAATCACTTTGACTAGCTTTGATTTGGACGGGCTGAGGGCCTTGATTTGAGAACCGTCGCTGCACACTAACTACACCCGCACCCCGCGAACGCCGAGCAGGAACGAGAGTAAATCCGACGGCACGGTCGAGTAGATCACGGCGGCGAGCTGCCCAAGCCACAATTTCCCGGCGTTGCAGTTGCAGTCCACCAAGCTAGCTAAACCCAGCACCCCAGCCCACCAACGCGACACAGATCACACAGCGAGGCAATGCGGCGCGGGAGGAGAGGAGGATTGGAGGAGGCAGCCGTACCGAGTCCCGGCCGCCCGCACTGCTGCTGGCGTCGCGCCGCGGCCTCCTGCAGCTGCTGGAGCCGCCCCCGGAGCGGGCGGCGGCGGTGACGACGGAGGAGGAGGCCTCGAGGTGGGGACGGCTGGCAGAGGCGAGTTGGTGGTGGTGCGGCGGCCGCCAGAGCTCGGCGGCCACCGACGAGGCGGGATCCATGCGCCGCCTCGGGGGAGGCGAGGCGAGGGCGAGCTCGGCTCCCAGATCGGGAGGGGAGGTGGCTGGCTGCCAGCCAGAGGCAGTGGCAGTGTGGGCGCGGAGTCAGAGGCTCAGAGGTCAGAGCTCAGAGGAGACCGGAGGAAGAGATCCGATGCCATGCCGATGCGACTCGCCGATCGCGACTGAGAAAAAATAATTTGAAATTTCCGGTGGGGCTGCTAGCTGGCATCACTATTCACTACTCGGCTGGGCCGCTGCCCGCTGGGGACCTGCCTGCCATATGAACCGCCGGACTGGAAGCAAAACAGTCGCGCGTGTAGGTTTGTGTGGATTTTGTGAAACGGAAATGCTAGGTCAGGACCTACGATCGTCCGGGCGTTCCCGTTGCTGTGGGCCACGACAGCACGAACGGCCCAACTATTCGGACCTCTAATCGGTCGTTTGAAAAAAAAAAAAAAACGGATGGCTGTCTTCTTCACTCTCCATTGGAACTTTTTTCTCATTGGCATCGACTGTATCCGTCGCGACGTTTCCCATCCCCGCACCATGGCCGCCCCGGCCCCTGCTTCGCCACGCCGCCCGCTGCTCCTGCTCCTCTTCCACGCGCGCCGCCAGCCGCTCCTGACGCTGCTCCTGGTGATTCTCCTGCTCCGTGCGTCCGCCCTGCTGCACCTACCACTACTCCTGTTCCGCACGCGCCGCGCCGCTGCTCATGCTGCTGTCCGCCCCACTCGACGATGTCGACAGGCGCCGCTAGCGCAAGGAGAAGCGTCGGCCCTGGCGTGGAAGCCCTCTGGCCTTGCCTCCTGCTACGACTGCGGCACGTCGGCGCCCTGATGCAGATGGCGGAGGAGGCCGCACCAGGATACGATGCATGTTGCAAGTGTATAATTTCAAATGTTTCATTTGTTTTAGAGGTATGTTGCATGTGTGTTCATACGGATGTTGCAAAAGTAGGTCGGGATGTTGCATATATTGTAATGTTTGTACACGTATATTGTAAGCGTCTGTCACTAATGTTTCATCTATTCTTTCAGACCCATGTTGCAAGTGTGTTTATCTCGATGCTGCATATGTTTCACACATATGTTGCAAGTGCTTTTTATCTACATGTTGCGTATGTTAGCAATAGTTTTCAAGTGTGTTTTTTTCAAGTGTTTCATACACATGTTTCAAGTGTTTCATCAGTCTTCGGACGTATGTTGCAAGTGTTGCATCTGGATGTTTCAAAAATAAATCGGGTGTTGCATATGGGATGCGCGTGGGACGCGGAAAGGGGCGCTAGCAGTCCCACGGGCACGGGCGGGGGGCGTGGAGTGCAGGCGTGCCCCGGGGAAATGAATCGGCCCGGTAGTGTTGTACTGAAGGGAAGTAGATCTACATTGTCTTTGGTACTCTCTGTACTGCAATTCGAATCGGAGTATCCTTGAGGTCAAGTTCTTATCTCCTACAATTAAAAAGAACAAAGTGTGGACATCGTTTTGGTACGACAATTGCCTTGGTTTATCCGTCTGCCACCACATGCGATCGATCCCACCTCCCACGCTGTCCAACGGGCGAGCGAGAAAAGGAAAGGAGCGAGCGAGAAAAGAAAAGCCCGCGATTTGTCTCCTTAATTGAATATTGCATGTTTGCAAAATATGAAGTAGAAAATTATTGTGCTATCCATATACACATTGCATGTTTGCATACACCAGCATACATGGCAACGAGCAAAAGGAAAGAGAATTAACACATAAGGAAAGAAAATTAAGACAAAAGAAAAGAGAGAGACTGCTATCAATTCTCTGCTATAAATCATGTGGCCTCGTCAGCTTAGCTCGCCCTCGCTCGCACCGGCCTCCGCGCTCGCGCCCTCCCTCGCCCATGCTCTGACTTGTACATTTTGATTAATTGAACATTATCTTTCCACGATTTATTGACGAATATTTAAACAAGATGCTCATAGATTAGCCAAACTTGACAATTTGCTTCTCAATCTTGTACTTCTACCCTGTGAAAAAAATAGTTATTCTAGTGTTTCTATAATGTATTAGGGCAGTCACAATGCTATACCTATTAATTTCTATAGACACTATATATAGAAACCATGGTCCTAATGGATAGTTTCTACAGAACAATTTTTTATCCAACCACATATATTCTCTCTCTATTCTTTACCAATCACATCCCTTCATGCCTTGGTTCTCGTGTAGACATGTCCCAAGAATCTAATATGTGTCATGATTTCAGAATTACATGCTACTCCCAGGGCTGGATGATGAGTAGATGGTTTCTATGTGCCCAAACTACTTGTACGGAGCAGTGAGGTCTTGGGATCATACAACGGGGAGGTTGTATAGTTTGGAGATGATGGTTTAGAAGCAGAGCTTGTTGAAATCGAGCATAGAATGATGCTTACATGGTGTTGAAAACTTTAGACATTTAGAGGTTGGCTGGAACTGGATGGTGCTTGGGAGGTAGTAAAACTGACAGCCATCGCGCCTCAATGAAAAGTTGACGATTGACTTTGTGAAGCAAATTTAAAAACCTTTGTGTTATAAGGGGGCAAAACTTGAATTTGTGGTTTCTGAGCAGATAATTTCTCCTTGTGAAAGTGTTTCTAACTAATTCAGAGTGGACCGATGAATCTACGAAAAATTACTTTCTCAATTCCAACTTATATGACGCTTTGGCTTTTCTAGATACATAATTTTTTTATATGCTTAGATATACATAATTAAAACAATATATCTAGAAAAACTAAAATATCTTATAATTTCAAACTAAGAGAGAAAATTCCAATTATTATTTTATAGTGAATTAGCTTGTACCAGACACAATGAATGAAAATGATATATTTTGAAGTTTACCTTGTACATCATCATCTTAAAAAACTAGGAAGAATCAAATATACAATTATGATAACCTCTAATTTATTTTTATCCGTCGCTTGCAATAATAATACATATGATTTAACCATTTCTATATATTGCTGATGGTGAATCTTACCATAGACACTCAAGTGGATACCTTATTCTACAGTATATGTCTGCGTGAAATAGTCCTAAAGCCACACATATTTATACAGTGAGTATAACATACTTAAGGTATTATAAGAGATTTTTCAAGACACGCAGTGTTACCCATGTGACATGAATTAATATTTATATATATACTCGAACTTGTGTACATGATGGTATGAAGATGCGGCAGAATTTATTCGTGGATTTATTGGCGTACGAAAGAAATAGATATCAGAGATTTCTTTCTGCCGATATAAAACATTATCTTAGTCGCATCACGGAAAAGTCTATATAGTAGAGTTTGTGAGCGTGCGACGTCGCGCTCCGTGACTGTGTTAATTTCAAGAACTTTGCCTTTTAGATTAAATATCACTTTAATGTCGGTATTTAATTTTATAGTATTGTTATCTTATCGTGTGATCCATGTATTTTTAGTATAAAAGTTTAGCTGTCCCGTAGCAATGTATGGACATGCTACCTTAATGCATATTTGTTAGTTTGGAAGGTTAACTTTCTTTGACATATTACCATTTGCAGGGCCTTGGAGCAGTAGCTATCAAACTCATATAGTTTGTTTAAACATACGGTGTATCCTGTGGCCATTTAAATAGACCATTTCGTCCAATACTGTTGATCAGCATCTAGTTTAATTTCAGACAAGCACGACCACTAGCGGCTCAGTAAAACTGCTTTAGTTTGTTTTAGTTCTTAAGATAATTCAATTTTCAATTCTGAATTTTTTTTTATTATTTTCTAACTTGTTAGAGCTATGGATCTTGCGGATGTAATTTGTCTATTGCATATAAACCTTGGTGGATGTAATTTGTAATTCATTTATTTATGTATTGTTATGAGTAGGAGGTGAAAGCGGTACGGATATTTTTCAACCGTATCCGAGACCGAATCCGTTTAGAGGGTTTAGATCCATCCGTATCCGAGTCTGGATATTCAACATTGGTAATTACTGGCCCACGAAAGAAATGGATATCGGAGATTTCTTCCGACCAATATAAAACATTATCTTAGCCACATCATGGAAAAGATCTATAAAGTAGAGTTTGCGAGCCTGCGACGCCGCGTTCTTCGTGACTTATGTTAATTTCACACACTTTGTTTTTTGGATTAAATGTCACTTTAACATTGATATTTATTTTTTATAGTATTGTTATCTTATCGTGCGATTCGTATGTGTTTAGTATAAAATATTAGCTATCCCGTAGTAACGCACGGGCATGCTACCTAGTGTATTGGTAATTAAGCAAAATTTAATTACCATGTATTGATGTTGTTCTCTCTGTATATTCTCGGGCGGCGACGTCTGGAGTACTACTCCATCCCAAATTATAAGACGTTTGACTTTTTTGTCCCAAGTTTGACCACTCGTCTTATTCAAAAATTTTGTGTAAATATAGTCAAATTTAAGTTATTCTTGAAGAATTTTTATTAATAAACCAAACCACGACGAAAGAAGTGATATTTTACACAAATTTTTGAATAAGACGAGTGGTCAAACTTGGTGTTAAAAAAATCAAACGTCTTACAATTTATGATGGATTGAGTATCATCCAGTAAGCTTCCTTATAGAGCACGGCACACAGCAAAAAGGGTTTCACTCTCCCCACGTCTTGAGTACAAGAAAACAAAAACAAATTTCCATTTGTTTATGTCACAGTACTCTCATCAGTCGATTATTTTTTGGGTGGGCCAGCTTGTCGCTGTGGTGAGAAAATGTTGCTTAGGGTGCGTTTAGATATTGTGGCATTTTTTGTATTTGAGTGTCTAATTTATGAACTAATTAGGGTTACTATATCTCATGATTTCTCACGCAGTGTAATTAGTTTTTTGGGCGTCTACATTTGGGACTCCATACACGTATGAATTGAGAGTGATTCTTATGCAAAAAATTTGGCAACTGAACGGGGCCTTATTCGGGTTTACGGTTGACCCTTGCTGGCCCATTACTATAAGCCACGCAGGTAATGGCTGATGGGCCCA